AAAATGAATATTGATAAAGTTTACCTTTATGTACAGAATCTGAATATTGCAAAATATTTTTAAAAAATTGCAATAATATCGTATCGTGCGTTAAGTATTGTAATAATATCGTATCGTGGGATGTATGGTGATTCCCACCTCTATTAAGTACCATAACCTAAAACACTTATTCTTTTTAAATTTAGCTTCATGAACAGTGTTAAATCTGCGAGTTTTTTTAGAGTAGTGCTGGTGTAAATTTAGCTTAATAAAAGTATTTTTTTGTATCCACTTGATTGAATACAGAAAACCAGTTGGAATCACAATATACATCAAAGTACATCATTTTTTAATGTACTGAAAATGTACATTTGTGTTCAGTAACTGGTTATATGTGTTTCAGGACTGGAGGCCTGGTTCTCGATGTCGGGCGGTGTATTCAGAGGATGGTTTGTTTTATCCTGCTGTGGTTCTGTGGGTAAAAGGTCAGCGCTGCCGCATTCGCTTTGATGACTACAACAATGAGGAGGAGCAAGATGTTAACTGCCTGCTGAGTCCCGATGAGCTCTATGGACCCAGCAGAGCCGCCACAATCAAGGTAGAGACCCACACCAGGCTCTGAGTGATGGGGAAATGTCTATAAAGAGTATTGACAAGTTAGACAGTCTAAGAACCTTTCCTGGTCCAGATCACAGGTTAAAACCACGTCAGGTTGTTTTTCAGCTGTTTGTGCTGCTACTCAGTTGTTTTACAGAGGGTTATTACTTCAGTTGAAGTCGACTTTATAGCACCAAACCAAAGTGCTTTATATTATAAAGACCCTACATGAATGAATATGAACACTTGAGAAAAAATGTTTTGTTGTAGCGAAGCGGCAGTTTCAGTCAGCTCAACATTGCAGTTCCCTTAAAGATAACTTGAGGTTGGCTCTTGCTGTCTCTGCTTGAGTTTTGTGAAATTCTGGTATTATTTTTGTACGTTGTTTAGCTCTGATCGGCAGTTATCTGCACCTGTGCAGTGTAGGTGGATATAGCATGCTAATCAAGCTAGTCACCGAAGCTGTGATGTCTACCGTTTATATGTAATCTATGTTCAGGATGAAAGAAAGTGTTCAGGACTTTTCAAAGCAGTAGAGAAACAATAGTAACAAAAAAGTAAATTTATGGACCAACATTGTGTGCATTTTTAAAAAACTGAACCACGGCACGAATATGAAAGCAGTTAAACTAAAATAATAAAAAACCAAATGCATTTCTTTATTAAAGGACTCTTTTAATTAGATGTATTTCACTTCTGATCCTCCCTGCTGTCTGATGAGGGCAGAATTTCACCTCTTTGATGTGGTCTAAAAGCTTTTCTCATCATTGATATGAAGTGGAGGGGCAGGCTTTCTGTTTTAACTATTCAAAATGATGGTTTTGGGGTTGTTTTGTTTGTTCTGCTCTCTTTTGTGTTTTTAATTTCATTGATCAGTGTCTCAGGTGTTGTGTTGTTCTCCTGTAGGCCAGCAACTGGAGGTCCAATTTAACAAGCAGGCGGAGAAGTCGGGAGAACCAAGGAGAACGAGGAGCAGAGAGGAGGTCTGCAGGGAAAGATGATCAGAACTACTCCAGAGTGAGTCTCCGTTTGTGGTCAAGAATCTAAATAGAGTGATTCATGGGTGAGTGATCAGAACATTAGAGCCTTCAAGAGGTTTATAAAAGCCTAAAAAGTTGATTCTGTTCATCTGGATGTTTTCAGTTTGAGAAACGTTTCGTCATCATCAGGTGACGTCTTCAGTCTCAGCTGACTGCAGGTTTCAATCTTATAAACAGGACATTTGCACAATGACTGAAACCAGCCCACTGAAGGAACAATGGGCTGGGAGGTCAGTTCCTTAATCTTAATTATGCAAATTCTCATGACTATTGATCAATAACCAATGATCAATGTCCATGAGTCTCAGTCACAGAGAGTTGGGGAATGGCTGCAATCACAGCATTGTAAGATGGTGACAGATGGACCCTTAAGCCCCTCCTCAATTCAGAGACGTAAATGGCCTCCTTGACTCCGCCCTCAAACCAGCGTTCCTCCCTGTCCAGGATGTTACATCCTCATCATTGAAACAGACGTCCTGGCCTGACGAGGTCGCTCTTCTGTGTTGTGCCGTCCGCTTCGCCAGAGGTTGTTTGGTTCCCCGATGTATAAATCCTGGCTCCTCCTGCACTTAACAGCGTACACTTTGTTTGTGTCGGGGGACCCTATCCTTGGGGTGGACCAATGTTTGGCGCAGCGTGAGACTCTGTGTTTAGAAAAAATGCGTCTCAACTGTTGTGATGCTCCTGACACATACGGGCTAGGGCTGGGCCATATCATACTGTTCACG